CGTGTGCTCTTCCGATCTCCCCAAAACCCCAAAACCCCAAGTGTAACTAATTCTGAAAATAACTTCATTTAAGAGAATTCAATTGAATCTATGAAGAAATAAATGAAATTATTTTAATTAATTGAAAATCAATTATCAGTTAAGTCACATTAATGGATATTTGATAACTAATAATATGGCTAATAATAGTCTAAACTTATCAATGAAATTTAGAAGATCACTATATCGTGTTTCTTGCCATCCATCCATTTAGCTTAATTTTACCTTTTATAGAAGTATCAATTCCCTTTCTGACTAGGATTTTTCTAACTTCATCATAGAATACAATAATCATAAAGAAACTCATAGCTGGAATTCCAAAATGAGGAGAAGCAAGTTATCTGCCTCCAAGTCCAATTTCAAAAGGCTTAGCATAGCAGATAAGAATTGCAAGGCTTAATTCGAATATAAATCCTTGCCACTGGACAGAGTTTATAAGTTATTGTTGTGATAATGATAATGTTCTAGTTTTACTAATAATGTTATTGGCTATCTAAGTGATTACTACCCCGACGAAATAAGCTGATGACACATAGATCACAGCTTCAGGTGTGTAACAAAGTTACTTCTCAGTGACATTAGAATATCTCCAGAATCTTGGTATGCTTTCATCATTTGGATTCCATCTGCATCTACCCCAGCTATCTTTATTATGGTGAACAAAGAATAGACGAACATCAATTTTAGCATCATAATTTCTTCCCCATGCGATAGTTCTGAGATAATCCTTAATCCCAAAGTTAGTGTTCCCAAAGTTAGGAAGGTTAGGATCATAAATATCTGTTGGATTAGGCTCATATCCTTTAGCCAAGTTGAGATTTATCAGAGTATTAAATTTGAATCCAAAATCATTCAGAATATAAAAGTAGGCAAACATGCCAGACAATGCTTGTATAGTTCCTGTCTGAACATAAGAAAAACTCATTAATTTTGTTGGTACTAGCCTATCTCTCTTTTAATTTCTTGGGAGTCTTTCCATAATATCTAACTCGGCATTCTCATAGGCAAGAGCAATAGCTGGATACATGTCAGTTCCTAGGCAAATAGCTATCATTAAAATAGATGAGAGTGGCACAGGAACTTAAATGACAATATTGCAAAGAACAGAGAATATTGCAGGAGTATTAGCTGAAAGAGCGTATTAGATAGACTTTTTAAGATTATCAAACATTAATCTGCCTTATTCAACTCCCATCACGATAGAACTGAAATCATCATTTAGTAAGATAATATCTGCTGCATTCTTAGCAACATCACTTCCACTTCCCATTGCAATTCCAATATCAGCTTTCTTAATAGCAGGTGAGTCATTTACACCATCACCAGTAACAGCAACAATGTGGCCTGCCTTTTAACAAGCATCTACTATCAATAGTTTTTATGAAGGAGTTGTTCTAGCAAATACAACTTCTGGTTTACTGATCCATTCTGTCAAGAATCTACCTTTATCTGGATCAAGATCATCTAAAAATTCTTCCTCAGCATGCTTCTCAGCTAATAAATCTCCATGAATGACAATAGCTTTGGATTACTCCATTGCTTAGTCATGGGAGAGTCCTTTTTCTTGTCTAAGATAGTGATATTCTTAAGTTGGATCAGTGATAATGTTAACTTTATGTGCAATAGCAGCCGCAGTAGGTGGTTGATCTCCAGTTACCATAATAACTTTAATACCTGCTTATCTGCATTTTAAGACTGATAAATCGACTCTTGGTCTTGGGGGATCATTCAATGAAACAATACCTACTAGTGTCAAGTTGAACATTGGGAACCATCCTTGAATTGATGAGTCTCTGTCCTTCACATGCTACCATTACTTCCAATTTTTAACATCAAATTAATACTTTGGATTTTTCTTATAGATTTTTGGATCTAATTCTAGTTTGGCAAATGCGAGTACTCTCTCACCCATCCTACCAAAAGAATAGTTTGCAAACTAAACGTGGTCAGCATACTAACTAAAAGGTCTCTCCTCACCATTTATAAGTATCTTGTTGCATCTGTTGAGAATTCTTTCAGGTGCACCTTTTAGGAATATACATAGATTATCTTCTTTTGATTCTGGACTAATCTTATCGGTATTCATATCTCTAATGAACATGTTAAACTTGATTTCAGAGTTAAATGGGATCAATGCATCAACAATATTTCCATCTAATTCATAGGAGAATACTGGATAAGTTTGTCTTTCTGTTTCGACATCTCTAATAGATTGGGCAAATTTAATGATTCCAGTTTCTGAAGCATCACCTGTAACATTTCTCTTTTCAACTGGTAAGTTAAGCTCAGCTTGCAATAATTCTTGCCTAGCTTACTCCTTTTCTTCCTCGGTAATGATATATCTAGCATAATCTCTAATTTTTGATCCCTTCTTTTTGGCAATATATGCTTTGATTTCTTCATTTTTTGGATTGAAAGCAAAGGAAGCTTTGGAGCCAAGAATCATGCAATCTAGTATATTTTTAAAGGCTGGATCTTTTATATCATAGTCTAATTTCAATTCTTGATTCTTTTTTAATTTTTCATAATTTATAGAGGCATCATGAATTTAGGCATTATAATAAAGATGAGAGACTGTCATTCTATTTTGAGTCAAGGTACCAGTCTTATCGGAGCAAATACATGATGTAGATCCTAATGTCTCCACAGATTAGAGATTCTTAACTAAGACAGATCTTGCTGCCATTCTCTTAGCAGCTAAAGCCATGCAAACTGTGAGAGTGATATAGAGACCTTCAGGTGTATTAGCAACGATTATACCAATCATAAAAATGATGTTAGTGATGATTTAATAACCAAAAGCAAAGTTAATTGCAAAGAAGGTTAGACTCATAGAAAAGGAAATTGTTGCAATAATCTTGATGAATCGATCGATTTCAATCGAGATTGGAGTTATACCAGCATCTGCAGTTTGTGCGAGGTTTGCAATTTATCCAATCACTGTTGAATCACCAGTTTTAAAAACTATGCCTACTCCATTTCCATTTGTGCATGCAGTGCCAAAAAAGGCAACATTAGGGCTTTCAAAGATGTTTTTAGATCTCTCCTCTGGCACTCTTAGAAGATCTTCTGATTCTCCTGTAAGTGAGGCATTGTTGACTTTCATTTCACTTGCTTAGATAAGAACTACATCAGCAGGTATATTTGCTCCAATCTAAATCTCAACGATATCTCCTGGTACCAACTCAGAAGCGTTAATTTCTATTTTCTAACCATTTCTAAAGACAGTAGATCTTGTAGGAATAAAATCCTTGAACTAAGCCATCAAAGCAGCAGCTTTTGATTATTGGATGTATGACATTGTAGCAGTGATAAATACAACACCAATTAGAACAACTCCAAGATACATATTTGTTTTATCTCTTTTATCATCCTAAACACCATAGGCTACAAATGATAATGTTGACCCTGCCCAGAGCATATAATTAAAGAGTCCAGTCATTAGTAGTAAATATTGAACAAACCAAGGTATACCTTTCTTTTCAGTAAGTTAATTGAGACCAAATGTTTTAAGTTTATCATGAGCTTATTATTAAGTCAAGCCAAAATAACTTTTGTCAGTTTCTCTAGCTTTTATGCAAGTTTCCAATTACTACGCTAGCTATTCAGTTTCAATCATATGCTCATTCTGTAATAGAGTTAATAGATTATTATTCTACCCATGTTCTAATCTTTTCAGTACCATTGACAGCAGATGAAATGCCTGATGACTTTGAAATTTTTAAATCATTTTTTTCAACAGTAGCTAATAATACCAGTTCCTGTCTTTAATATTCTTGACTATTAGGAGTTAATTAAAGCAAAAGTATCTCTTACACTAGTTGCTCATAGAATATTGAAACATCTTTTGATTGATTATTGAGACTGACTTTACTCATCTCTTCTTTTTAGTCTTTGAATAGAAGTTGTTTCAAAAGATTAATAATTATATATTACTACTTAAAATTTTAAATTATTCCATAAAATTAATAGGTTTTAAAATCTTATCTCATACAATAATAAGAAATTTAACATTAATAAGAATTAAACATAATAAGTGATCATTTTAAAAATAAGTTTTTAATATTCAGAATCAATTCTTAAAGCATACTGGAATCATTATATAAAATTAATATTAATCCTGATCAATTCTTCTTGAATTCTAGATAATGGGGTTTTGGGGTTTTGGGGTTTTGGGG